TAGAATTTCTTTTCTTGGGAAAAAATTGCTTAAACTGTTGAATATGTAAAATAGCCTTTCATTTCCTTTATGCAATCTTGGTTTAAACTGAGAGCCCCCCCCCGTACTTTGCTTTATTGAAAAATGACCTAAACTACTGACAGATTACTTTTGTGCTACACACACATACACACTTACTCTATTATGTATACATTGTACAAGAAGGATTGCATTCTGGGCTCGTAGAGCGGGGGGGTTATAGACTTCAAGGGGCTCTTGTGCAGAAAACCATTAGATGCTAACCACTTTCACTCACTGTGCATATCCTTGTCACTAAAAAGACCACTACTTGTAAAGTCCTCATTCTGCCATGTAATGTCACCTGAACTCCAGAAAAAATGAACAAGTCCTCCCTTGCCATGGGGCTGTCCCTGTCCTGCAAGGGATATCTGCTTGTTTATGCCTTTTGACAGAGTACAGCAGGTTTACTTTACTTAGGTAATCCTACACTTGCGGCTCCCACACACTGCTAGACTGGTCCCTGCTGCCTCTTCTTCCCTGTACTCCAGCTATCTAGGTCCTCTGATGTCATCAAGGCTGATGCAGGGATCAATGACCTGCATTGGACATGACGACTTCACTGTTGGTGCAAAACAACATTTGCCAGGAGTGCAGAAGTTCAGGTAAGTAAAAGTGCTCTTACCATCCCTAGGCTAAAGGAGCATTTAACTCTTGCAATGTGGGGACAGCTCCACTTAAAAGGAGGACTTTTTTTTATCTGGAGTTCAGCTTTAATGCTTCCTATGCAACATATGTGCCCTAGGCATATCATAGACATGGTCATAGGGCACACTAAGCTGGTCTGTCTACACTGTTCACCGCTAAGAGCTCCAGTTGCACTACCCTCATATTTTTTGAAGCCCCTCTGATGTATTCATTACGTTCAGATCAGGTGATGTTTTTTTCCCAAGCCCTAGGATAATTCTTAGTATATTATAGGATAGAAAATGTTCCAACACAACCGTTTAACTTTTCTAAAGATTTTAAGGCCCTCATGCTCACTGGTGTAAAAAATGCCATTTTAAAGGGTGTTTGACAGGTTTTTTTTTTTTTTCTGCTTCTAAATGCCCCTCTATTTTAAACCTATTTATCTTTGCACACAGGCATTTGCAGGCGTTTAGAGGCATAAAAAAAAACATTCAGGAGATAAATGTTTTGGCAGAAAAAAATTCTGACTGCTCCTAAGCGTGTTTGGCATTTGAGAATTCATTCATTTGAATGGGCATAATAACTGAACTACTTAAGGACCACCTTCCATAGTTTTACTGCAGCAGAGCAGCCCCACTGTGCTAGATCACACACATGTATGTGATCTGGCATTTCCGGGTAGGAGGCATGTGCATACACCGTGCCTTCTGTGCGATCATTTGCTACAGCACAAGCCGATCAGCAGGTCCCAGTGATTTATGGCCGGGACCCACTGATCGGCTTTGTGAATGACAGTTCAGAGCTATATGTTGACATACAACACAGGGCTCTGAATGGAGAGCAGAGATGTGGCAATTTTTTCCCCCTGCAAATATAAAACTGTCACATCTAGTAGTAAAAGCAGCACATATTCCACACAATAAACATGGTTAGGCACACAGTTAACCCTTGATTGCACCTAAATGTTAACCCTTTTCCAGCCAGTGTCATTAGTGAATTCAGTGACACTGAATTAGTATCACTGGAGATATTTGTGTCATTTGGTCAGTTCCCACCCAGCGTCAGTTGGTGTCAGATTGCCCACCGCACTATCACAGTCCCACTATAAGTTGCTGATCACCGTCATTTCTGGTATAAAAAAAATTCCAGTATTTCTACCATTGTTTGTACGCACTATAACTTTTACACAAACCAGTTAATATACACTTATTGTTTTTTTTTTTTTACAAAAGACATGCAGCAGAATACATGTTGGCCTAAATTTATGAAGACATTTTTATTTTTAAATTTTTTTTTTTTTTTATCGGATATATTTTATAACAGAATATAGAAAATTTGGGGTTTTTTTTTGCAAAATTTTTGGTATTTTTTCTTTTATATAGTAAAAATAAAAAACCCAGTGGTGATCAAATACCACTAAAAGAAAGCTCTATTTGTGTGGAAAAAAGAAATTATATCAAGTTCATGAGGGAACAGTGTTGCATGACCGTGCAGTTGCCAGTTAAAGTAGTGCAGTACCGAATAGCAAAAAATGCCCTGGTCATGAAGGGGATACCTTCTGGAAATGGTTAATATTCTGGCCAATAAAATGAATGAAAGCCTAAATACCTGGGGCACCTAATCCCATTTGCAATATGTGACTTTAGATACGTTTTTAGCCCTGGTTCACACTGAATCTGACTTTGAAATTGTGCAACTTCACTTGATGTCGCACGGTTTCAAAGCCACAGGTCAGTGCAATTTCAGGTGCGACTTGGCTGACATCCGTGCGACTTAATTCACAGATGTTTATGCAAGTTGCACCTGAAATTGCAAAAAAAAAAGTGCAGGAACTGTTTTTTCAAATCAGTGCGTCATCGCAAAGTCAGTCACACCGATTGAACAGTTCCATTGCCGACAATAAGGTGCAACATGTCATGTGATTTGGAACTGTCATATCACATCGCACTGGCACTGACAAATCCCACTGGTGTGAACAAGGGCTTAATGGAATCTTCTATTCCTCCTACCAGTCCATCCCCCACAGTTATTACCTTTGTACCACCAGCCCCTCCCTCTTAGATTGTAAGCTCCAAGGAGCAGGGCCCTCCTAACCCTCTTGTATTGAACTGTATTGTTGCTGTATTGTCTCTCGTTATATTGTAAAGCGCTGAGCAAACTGCTGGCGCTATATAAATCCTGTATAATAATAATGCTGCTTTTCTCCTGCCAGGAGAAAAGGCATTCAGAAGAGCTGGGCAAACACCCAATGTCCATGAGGCCTAGAGTTTTTGGGTGTCGTTTGTTATATATTCAGCCTGTAAGCCCTGTTGGGGCGGTGCTCGCTTTTAGTAAAATTGTTTTATGTCCTTTTATATGTTTTTTTTTTTCAAGCATGTATACATTCAAACTAAAAAGCATTTCAGGTATTTTACACCTATGTGTGGCGAAATGACAAGACAGAACATCAATAATTCTTGTCGTGTGTTGCTTTCAGATGAAGAAATGTATGCTTAATTATCCAGGTGACACGGTGATCGCTATCAGTAACATATTTGTTAAGCTGACATACCTAGGTAGATCCCCTACATGCATATACTGTGGATAGTGACAACGTTTATCTCTATCATTCAAATTTCTGCAGCATTTTAGCGTTTTGTTCTGCTAGACTAAATAACTGAAAGTAGAGATGTTTTATTTTTCTGCAGTCGCTAAACAGAGGAATTCAGTGCGTTTTGTTGGAGGCAGATGAAGAGACATATACATGTCTGGTTCTTGTACACCTCAAGGCCATGATCTGTTATCTCCACTTTGTTTTATCTGATAAAGGCTTTCAAAATAGACTGATTTCACAAACTGCCTAGCAACAAGACCCTAGACCCCAATTTACCTTGCTTATGTGCGTGGTTCTTTTTTATATAAAGTCATTTCCTTTCTAGTGCCTTAAAAAGAAAAAAGTTTACTCTGACTTTCCGTCTAGTTTATTAACTGAACATTTGCAAAATGGAAAAATGTATACCTGTATAGAAGGAAGTATGTAGGCTGCTATTGCTTACCTGTGCTTGTAAGTTGCTTACCTGTGCTTGTAAGTTGCCAACCTGTCATACTGATCCAATGCCTCCAGTAATTTGGGTCACTTAGGCAGGCCATAGACGGGCGGCCGATAAACGAAAAATCTGTGTCGGCCCCGTTGCCGATGCTGCAACCCATGTCCACAAAAAACAGCCGTTTTTTGCGAATTTTCCAGCATGACCAATAAAATAAATGAGGAGATCCGCGAAAAACGGCCGACGGGCTGGCCCCACTAATGGCGTGATTATCGGACGGTTTTTCGTGCCGATAAATGACCCGTCTATGGCCTGCATTAGGCTGGTCATAAATACCTCCTGTGTGTAAGTTTAAGTACATCGATCCGGCTGTCAGCCTACTGACATCACTTCTAAAAAGGCTGCACCCAGCATCATATGTACTCTCCAGCGCCTCAGGATATGCACAGCCAAAAGGAAAGCCAAGGGTACCAGGACAGCGACAACCAAAGGAAATGTTCCAGGGGTGCAGCCCTCCTCAGACGGGGAAATCAGCCACTGGATAGAGAGAAAACAGGTGGCGCACACACCTAGTGCATTATCCAAGGTTTATTGTAGGAATGAAATAATAAAAACATACTCACAGACGAAGCATGTATCTAAAAAGCATAGAAAAATGACAATGGCTACAACGGCGGGCAAGGTGTTCTCACTGTCAGTGCGGTCAAATGACTGACGCGTTTTGGGGACGAATCCCTTTCCTCAGAGCTGATGACCAACCTCTGATGCTGATGTATGGAGAGAAAGAGCCTCAACAGCGAGGCTCTTTCTGTCCATACATCATACATCAGCATCAGAGGTTGGTCATCAGCTCTGAGGAAATGGATTCGTCCCCGAAACGCGTCAGCCATTTGACCGCACTGACAGTGAGAACACCTTGCCTGCCGTTGTGGCCATAGTCATTTTTCTATGCTTTTTAGATACATGCTTCAACTGTGAGTATGTTTTTATTATTTCATTCCTACAATAAACCTTGGATAATGCACTAGGTGTGTGCGCCACCTGCACCCAGCATCAGTCTCAGGACTTTTGGATGTCTACACAATTGAGGCTTTTACAGGTAAATAACCCACATAAAACATATTAGCTGCACTTTTTAAGTTATGTGAATACTTTTCATGAAGTATTTGTTTTGGGGATGGGGGTCTCTTTAAATTAGAACGGCTAGGCCAATAGCAAATGTTTAAGTGTTAAAGGGGCTCTGTTCTTTTAAAGTGAATAATTGTGTGTTTTAATGTGTTCTTTCAGGTTTATGAGGATGTAGATCAGTGCTGCCAGGCCTTATCACAGAGATTAGGAACCCAGCTCTATTTCTTTAATAAACAGTAAGTCATTTGATTTGAAATATCTGTGTCTGTATTTTGTACTATTCATCATGCACCAAAAGCCTGACTGCAGCCAAAACTTTCTTTAAAGTGTTAGAAGAGCAATAAAAACCTGCCAAAAATCCAACCTCATCTTGCACTGTAAAAAACTTTAAAAAAAAAAACCAAACCACAAATATTCAATATATTTCAGCTTACCAGTCCTTGGATCAGGTGGCTTTGTTCTTTATTTGTACCTAGTGAGGTAGCACATGTCTTGTCGTAGGATGACAATTGTATCTAGGAGGAGCAGTGTTGTCACTCTAGTAAGGGAGTATGTTAATATATTATTATACAGGATTTATATAGCACCAACTGTTTGCGCAGCTCTTTGCAGAATATGTTATAACTATATAACACCTCCTCCTCCCCATAACATAGGGAGGAAGGGATGTTGTAGTCAGAGATAGCTGTGAAAAATGCTAACTGTCCACAGAGGAAGAGCGCACATGAAGTTGTCTTCTCACAAAATTGCTGGCTGTATAAACAGCATGTTTTTTGTGCGCTTGTCAAATGGTATAACAAATTCCTTTCACTGATATATTTAACAAACCATAAGGAGCAAAGAAGATACCGTATTTTTCGCTCCATAAGATGCACCTGACCATAAGACGCACCTAGGTTTTAGAGGGGAAAAACAAGAAAAAAAAAATATTCTGAACCAATGGACTGCAGACACAGTACAGGGGATGACCAGAGACTGCAGACATAGTACAGGAGATGACCAGAGACTGCGGACACAGTACAGGGGATGACCAGAGACTGCGGACACTGCGGACACAGTACAGGAGATGACCAGAGACTGCGGACACAGTGCAGGAGATGACCAGAGACTGCGGACACAGTGCAGGGGATGACCAGAGACTGCGGACACAGTGCAGGGGATGACCAGAGACTGCGGACACAGTGCAGGGGATGACCAGAGACTGCGGACACAGTGCATGGGATGACCAGGGGAGAGACTGCGGACACAGTGCATGGGATGACCAGAGACTGCGGACACAGTGCAGGGGATGACCAGAGACTGCGGACACAGTGCAGGGGATGACCAGAGACTGCAGACAGTGCAGGGGATGACCAGAGACTGCTGACCTTTGGGGAGGGAGAGGGAACGGGTACCTGAATTTGACAGGTACCCGCTCCCACTTCCGCGGAGTTGTCCTTCCTTCCTTCTTCCCGGGCCGGCTTCTGTGACAGCCGGGTGCCCACTGCGCATGCGCGAGAAGCGCTGCGCTTTGTGAATGGCCCGGCGCCTTCTGGGACCTGTCATGTGTCCCAGAAGACACCGGATCATTCACAAAGCGCAGCACATGCGCAGTGGGCACCCGGCTGTCACAGAAGCCAGCGCGGGAAGACTGTGCAGCACTGGAGTGAGGAACAGGTAAGGCCCTGCAGGAGAGAACAGCTGAGCGGCCGGCCCGGTATTCTGACATGGTGGCGGCAGAAATACCGGACCGGCCGCTTTATATTCGCTCCATAAGACGCACTGACATTTCCCCCCCTTTTTTGGGGGGAAAAAAATGCGTCTTATGGAGCGAAAAATACGGTAAATGTATTATTAGAGTTTACATGCACTTTAGAGATCGCTTGTTATAAAAATAGAAAGATATGAGGACAGAAAGAACTTTCACTCTTTTAATGAGAAATATTATCTGTAAAATCCTACCACCTCCTGTATGTCTAGAGCTAATACACTACAGTGCATGTGACCATTCCCAACTACAAATATTTTGGGAGTTTTCTGCAATGCCAACAGGTTTCATTGTCTTGTTGCTTTCCAGTAAATTTACTGCTGTCAAACTTTAGAATGTCTGTTTGCCTAGACTATGGTAACTTTCTGTAAATATGAGGAGGTGGATATACAGTTTAATACCCAGTGAAGTGGGTACAGCCTGTTGTATTGAGATACCAAGTTTCCAGTAAACGAAGGCTGGGTACACAATGACTGAAAATTAGCTGAATACGGTCAGTTCTCCAGGAACCGGCTGACTTTCTGTCCATGTGTACAGATCCCCTGTCAGACAGAAGCTGGCCTCATGACCAGCTTCTGTCATATGGGCATGCTGGAAAACCAGTATCCGATCAACACTGACAGCTGATGGCTGTGAGCACTGATCAGTGTATTCTGGTGTGGGGGGGGAGCCCAGCTTTTGCAGTTCCCCATGTCAGAACACAATAGTTCAGTGGGGGAGATCACCACACTAACATTGCTTGCGTTAGTATGGAGAAATGTAAGGTGTTTTTTTTTTTTTGGTTTTTTTTTTCAGCACCTTGAGTTGAACAAAAAAAAAAATCTTTTAATGTGTACCCTGCATAAGTGTATACATACTTTCAGCTTTACATCTCCAACAGTGGGCCATTTGGCTCCATTTGTCACAAGGTGATGGAGTTGATATGATGCTCTTTGTAGAGACCATTGACCCCTGATAACTACAGAGTACATAGCTGAACGGGACATTTCCTAATCACTTATTTTCGTCACCAAATCTAGTCCCCTGTCTATACTACAGTTGTGAGCCTCATATAGTTCAATGAAAACTACAAGAAATGCCAATGTGATTGTAGCTGTAATAGTGAACTTGCAACAGAAACAAATGAGTACTGTCCATGATACTTTTTTTTTTTTTTTTTTTTTTTTTTGCACTAACATACAATTTTCAGGGAAAGCTTGTCCTGAAATTTGTATGTTAGTGCAAATAAAAATTGTGTTACAGACAGAACTCAGTTGTTTCTGTCTGTTAAAGTGAAGCTGAAGATGGAGTGTCACAAGTGCATGATCGAATTCCAATGAACTGAGGACCTTTTAACAAATTTAGATCTAATGAATTATCATTTTTAAAATCTATCTCGCTGTTACATATGTTGCTCAATGTCTCTGTGCTGTCACATCAGACTCTTTAATCTGTCTAGTAAAATCTTTTCAACTGCTTGAAACCCAGTTGCACTTATATGGTGCCCCCATGAACCAAGAACTTATACAAGTTGACAGTATTTTACATCGCAGGGAGCAAAGAAGTGCAGAAGCCCAGATACAATGGGTAATGCTCATATTTTCAGCATGATATTTACTTAGTTAAATCTTGTCCTTCATCTGTAAATTCAGCATCAGTTCTAAGTAGCAGAGATTGCAAAAATTTAGTTTGTTGTGATTTGATACAAGAACAAGGGTGTAACTATACCCCAGCAGATCCTGTGGCTGGTAAAGGACCCAGAAAAGTCGGGTTACACAGTTATTTAAGAAGACAGTAAAATCATTGAGCATATACAGTACATTAAGTTAGCGGTTTAAAAACCTTCATAGTTTCTGTAAATGTCTTACTCTGTATCATAGATATATTGCTTTTGAGATGGACAATTAATTGTAAGGGAACCCCCTAACTGTTTTGATATGGGGCCCTATCACACATTTATATGACTCTGTATAAGGAAGAACACGTCATCTCAGCCTAACTCGGTAGCAGTGGCCCCATGTATAGATTCTGATGATCATATACAGTAGTTTTGCATGTGTTAAGCAGAAAACCATCATTCAATGATACATCCAGTGTACATCTTTGCAAAACTCTCTCTGCCAGCTGCCCAGAATTGCAGCGATGGGTTCTCAGATGCAGAAAGCTCCTATTGTAAATGAGAGGCAGCTTGGTTTGCACAAGATATGCACCTGGTCCTGTTTGTATGCTGCTTAATAAATCTCCCTCAGTGTGACATGCAGAGATTTGCAAGCTCCGGAAAGTTCTTAGGCTGTCATAGCTCCGTTATACAAATGCACAAAGTCATAATATCTTAATTATGCTTAGACACAGTGGATGAAACCTTTCATATGTGGTTATTAATATTTTTTTCAAATTTGTCTTTGTTGATGTAACCCCTTAAGCTAGCTTAAAGGAATGGCATTCTCTACTATATCTACCTAGCATGGCAGCTTTCCATATGGAAAACACGTGTTGTGAGCAATTTAGAAGTCGTTATGATGCTGTTATCTAGCTCTTGATCCCATTAAGTCTATAATATAACATAATCCATATGGCAGTTTTTAAAGTATAAACTGATCAACAAGGAGTTATACACACTGTGTTTATTCTGCACATAATTAATTCACATTGCATCAGGCTGGTAATACATGGGCCACTTTTGAAAGTTTATACTCATGCTTGTAAGCATTTATTGTCAAATTTTAGCAAATCTAAAGATAGCTATACATGGAAGAGACTGTCAGTTGAGGTTGACCCACTTACTCTTGCTTTCCCTGAGCTGGGACTGGGGTGGGCATTTTTAGATTAATCATGGCTGTGAGGAAGATATTTTCCTGGGAACACTACAATACTGAGATTGAGCCAAGTATTTTGCATTGCTAGGTCAGTAACGGAGACGCTAGACATTTCCAGGAACACTGGGGTTTATTTAATAAAGCTGGAGAATGCAAAATCAGGCTCAGTCCTGCATAGAGATCAGCTTCCAGGTTTTATTGCTAAAGCTTAGTTGAACAAGCTAGGGTTAGAAGCTGATTAGTGTCTATGCAAAAGTGAGCCTGATTTTGCACTCTCCAGCTTTAGTAAATAAACCCCACTGTGTGCTGTGCTGGGGTTCTAGTATGGTGGTATTTGCAATGCACTGTCAGACTGGCAGAGGGGCATATAGAGATTTCCAGGTAGAATATGCTGATGAGCCAGGGATGGAGACCCTGGGATATTTCCAGGGAAACTGTGAGCTAAATGAAAAAACATAACACTAAAATAAGAGTGTTGATGTGGGGTGAATTTTTAGTATTTTTCTACATAATTTTTCCATCTTCTGTCCTTTTTACCATTACATGAATAGGCATACCTCTGCTAGTAATAGTCTATGGTTATTGTATTTAAAAGAGGCATGAGCACAGACTTTGAGCTGGAGTATGGACTCGGAGAGGAAACCCTCACATGAGGAGAGACAAATAAACACCACACTCACTTAATTTTTTTTCT